GATGAGAATAAAAAGAAGAGAAATTAAGATAATGAACAAGTATGATCCCTAGGTACTCTGTGGACTGGAATACACAATTTTCCCTGATGTTTTAATTCCCATTATTCAGAAGAGAATTCCCCAGACTACAAATTCCATAGTATCCTATGACGTAAGCCATTCACTGCATGAGCTGAACCTTTTACCATTGTCTTTCCTGTGCGCCTCTGGGGGTAACACTCTGTGATACTATTCTCCATTTATGCTCAGAAGAAGGGACTATATTCCCAGCTGCTATTATACTGCTTTCATATCATTCAGTAATAAAGTGCATGCCTTAAGTGGAAGTATACATTTTTCACCTATATAAGTCTCTTTGCCCTATGTCCAGAGGGCGTGCTAGAATACTTATGGTATTGTTTAACGGCAACACTCACTTCTTTCTAGGAGCAATTTTTGACGAATCTGCCAAGAAAGATGACGAGGTGTTCCGGACAGCAGTTGGAGACCTCAACCAGAATGAGGAAATCTTACAGACTGAGAAAATCACATTTTCAGTGACATTTGTTGATGGCAACAACCCTTTTCAAGCAGTTCAAGAAGGTAAGGTCCAACTGTAGTCCACTCTTTTGTTTGTTTCGATTGCTTGTTGTTTAATTAAAATGGCAATAAATTATATTCCTAGGAAACCGTTTAGTATGGAGATATGGTTTATACCTTTTCTGCTACTTGGGTGTTTCTTTCTATGGAGAATGCTGTTTTGCAAATGCATTCCACATTTGAGAGCACGGAATGTGGAAGGTTGTTGTTTTAGTTGAAACATACTATTGAAATAGATGTAAATGTTTACCATGAGATTGTTTTCAGCAGTTTTATAACTTCGATGGAAATGAAATATTCCTTTAAAATATACAGTCCTACCAGAAGTTGTACGTGAGGGTTCTTTGGGAAGACTGTCACCTTGAGTATAGCTACAACTTGCACTGACATTTCAGGTGTTCTATGTCAAACCTATTACTGCAAGGAAAATAGACACTACATACAAATCAAAGATTTTGTACATAGATTCTAATGTACTGGTCTTACCTCTAATTCCTTTTTTCTTTCTACAAATTTCCAAATGTTAGAGTGGTGTCCTCCATTCTCTCTTAGTCTACAGTGAATTAAAAGTTTGGATCAGTGCAAAGTAATACAAATAGAAATAATTTTATACTACAATAATCATTCTCATGAATTAAGACTCTGACTGGAAAAAATTCTCATGTGACTGGAATTCTATGTTTTATCCCCATGATGTAATAAAATTATTTACCTCTTCATTTTGAAAGTGCTCATTCACAGAACTGCATTTTGCTGGATGCTGTGGCTTGAGTACTTTTGTTCACCCTCAAATGTTATGTTGAAATCTCCCTCCCACTGGGTGACGTTGTCCTCTTCGCCTTTGTCAATGTGATTACTGTCTTCATAGAAGAGGTGAGAAGGAGAATTTTCTGAGATTAAAGGTAAACTAGCAGACACAGTCTGTGCTGCAGGATATAAAACTTCATGAGACAGCGACTCTCCTGGCCTCCTGGTCTCGGACTTCGAGCCTCCAGAAGCTGTGGGCAATATGTTTTGTTGTTTATTGATTACCTGAATTACATGATCACTCTGTGGCCAGAATTATTATTACAGCATCACGCAGACCAAGACGCTTATCTCTTGTACATATGCTCTGATCATACGTTTAAATTACAGATACTCTATCTAAAATTAATATACTCTAATGAGGCATTTACCCCATTAACATTTTAAACAAGATTTGGCAGAAGGACAGATAACCTATTCGATATAGTAAATTTGAGAGGGAACTTTTTAAAAAGAAAATAATGAAAAGGTTAAAAATATAAAGTAAACCTAAGGGTCTAAATAAATATAGATTTTTTGGTCTGTACTTCTAGATGCTTGGTATAAAAGATAACTTTATTGTGATGTGCTTATGATTAACAGCATTGGCTACAGTTAACATTTACTTAGGTTTACTTTTTTCCATTAAAGAATGGATATAATGAGTGGTAGTTGAAAGGAATTTTCTTTGCATTGATGCAGTGAAGTATCCTTTTTATAAACAGACTTGCTTTATGAAAAGCCATCCTGACAAAGGAATGATATAGTGTATTATAATATGATGGGATTTTAACTTTTAATAAGTGAATATCGGTGCAAAAATAAAAATGAAATAAACATTATTATCATTTCAAAATTAGAACTATCTTTAAAATTTGAACCTTCACATAATGAATATTTTGATAAATTTTCTGTGGAAACACTTTAAAGCTGTTTATGTTAGAAATAGATGACATGATCTTCAGAATAATAAAATTAAAGGTAAAAATGACATGCACTAACTTTGAAAAATGTATTCATTGAATTCATTAAATATTTTTCTGTCTTAATCTCTAGTTTTCATGACTAGAATGACAAAGACATGAGGAGCAGTTTATTTTAATGATGACCTTCTAAGTGACAACTTGTCCAATGAGCGTGTCTGTAACTTCAAACATAATCTCATATACTAGTGTTTTAAAAATTCACCTTGAATGAAAAATTAGCAGAGAAGCAGACGTGGACAAGACAAAAATTTCAGAAGGGATTTATAAGTTCCGAATACACGTCTTCCACATTTTTATAACATACTATTAAAAGTCAAGATAGTTTTTGATATTTGCTAGAATAATTTTTCAAACTTGTTTCTTTGTGTAACCATTGAACTGCCAGTTAAATTTTCTGGAAACATAGAAGTTTCTCAAAAGAACTACAGGGACTTCAAAGAAGTTTTGGCACTGAAAGTAGATTGAGATCGGAAACAAGTTTCCCAGATACAGGCCAAGAAAGGAGGCCTTGATAGCTCACCTGATGGTTTGGGGTGCTACTAAGTTGCTCTGCACTAGTTATTTTCATGGTCTGCTCTGGCTAATGAAGCTGAAATAAGTTGAAGGAACCTTTGGAGATAATGCGGTTCTTCATTTAAAATCCCAAAGGAATGTAGTTAATTTTAGATGTGAAAATAATTATTTCAAGAACTATGTTAAAGCATATTGGATTAAAAGAAGGGACATATTCAATGTGAAAAGGAGCAAGAAGCAATCCAAAGTCATTCTTGTTTATATATTTTGGAAAAGCATAATTATGTCATTTCATGAAAATCAGTACTTTATGGTCACATTTTTAATGCAGTAGCACTAAACCTACAAATTATAATTTTTTTAAAAATCACCTTTTTAAAATGTAAGATGAGATAACATATTCAGTGACATAACTAATTTGGTACATACTAGTATTCCTTATGTTAGCATGAATTTATAGAAAATGATTGATTTTAATTTCTCCATCTCTTTTTATTTCAATTTGATCTTTATTGATTTTTAAAAATTTAGTTGATCTGTATCTTTGCAAAAAATGGGGTGTTTAAAGTACCCTACTATCATTGAGTGAGTGTTTATTTTATTCTGTCCTTTTGAGATGGGCTCGCTACGCAGTTCAGGCTGGCCCTGAACTCACTTTGTAACTTTGGCTGGTCTCCAACTTGCAAGCATCCTCCTGACTCAGCCTCCCACATGCTGGGATTACAGGCCTGCACCACCACACCCGACTCATTGTGTTAGTGTTATCTGACACTTCAGTTACAGCAGTGTTTGTTTTCAAAGATAGGTGCTTCACTATTGGTGCATGTATGTTTATTACTGTTATCTCTTCTCGTTGCATTGTTCCTTTACCTACTATGCTGTATCCTTCTTTGTTTGTTCTAATAAGTTTTAGCTTGAAGTTTGCTGAGTCTGATATTAGAATTGTTGTTCAGGGGGCCGGGGAGATGGCTCAGTGGAATAAGTGTTTCCCTGGCAAGCACAAGGGCCTGAGTTCAATCCCTGGTTCAAAAAAAAAAAAAAAAAAGAATTGCTGTTCCTATTTTTTTTGGGGGGGGAGTCTATCCTTTAGGTTTTGTTCTATGAAAATTATTTTGTGTCCGTTAAATTTATTAATGTCTTTTTGGATTAGATGAATGTGTTGAATGAAATAGACTTCTGAATTCTGTTTATGATCAAATCTGCTATTCTCGTAATTGGAATGTTGGGGCTATTTACATTGAGAGCTGTGACTGGGATGTGTTGATTCCTTACTACCATTGCTTTTTTTTTTTTTTGGTGAATCCTTTGCCATTGTTTTCCTACTAGTTTTGTTGCTGTTTATCCATTGACCTTACTTGAGGTTTATGTTTCCTCTGTGGTTTTAGTTGTGTCATTTTTATTGTTCCTGTTGAGACTGTTAATAAATATTTTCTCAAATTCTGGTTCAGTACTCATATATCTCTTGAGCTGAACTTTTTCATTAAATACCTCATTTCTACAACTATTTTGAATGATAGCTTTACTTGATAAGTTACTTTGAATTGGAACTACTAGAAAATACTTCACTCTTCTCTCTCCTGAACTTCAAGGTTTATGTTGTGGCATCTGCTGTGATTTTAATTAATTCACCTTTTATTGCTATTTTTTAATGTATTTGGTTGTTCCAGGTCTCACTACACAACTCAGACTCATAGTGATCCTCCTGTTTCCCGCCTCTCCAGTGCTGGGATTACAGGGGTTCACCACCATGCCCAGACTCTGTGGCTGGCTCAGCCTGCCCTAGGGGTGGGAGTGGCACAAAATGTGGTTTTGGGGATCAAACTGTGGTCCCCAAACCTGCCTAAGTTTGCTTAAGCAGGCACTTTAGTCCACTGAGTATCTTGCCAGCCCCTAGTCCACCTTTACATGTGATTTTTAATTTTTTTTCTCAGATTGCTTTTATAATATTTTTTGCTGTATATCTGGCAACTTAATAAGGTTATGCTTTTATGAGCTTCTTCTTGTCACATTTGTTTGCTGTGCAATAATATCCATTGCATTTTATAAATTGATTTTGTTTTTTCATCTGTAAAACATGAAGAATTCAGAATATAAGTGATGTTTCTTGGGACACTTTGATCTTGGCCTTTGACACTCATTAGAACACAGCTCTAGATTTTGAACCTTAGGTGTAAATTACATTGTTTATCCTTAAAAAAGAATTCAAATTGGTGAAATTGCTCCTAGTTCCTCTCTGATTAAAGTTAAAGTAAATCCAGGGATATATGGGCCTCTCCGTGTTCTGCTGCCTCACCCGCTATAACCCAGCAAACTCATTACTGTGCTGAAAACCAAGAAAGAGCTTCATGCTTGCTCAGTGGACCTAGACCGAAGCAGCCATTGCAGCCTTTCCCTCCGTCTCCTGTGCTGAGACATTGTTCCCTTTGTGATGTCAATGTATTGTGTATAACATACACAGATACCTGCTGCAAAACCCAGCATTGATTCTCCTGAAAGCAGTCATCTGTTTATATTTTTAGTTCTTGACAGAGAATAGCATGCTGTAGCTCTCCCTTGGACCGTAAGACTTTGCAAGAAAATAAACTCAGGGACAAAAGGAGAATGGGAAAATTTAATAAAAATACATTGAAAGGTATTGCAGAAATAGAAATATAGTATAATTCTTACAAGCATTGAATTTATCAAGAAGGATGTAAAACATTATGCACTGATACTTAA